AGCTTTGTCCTAACTGCTCTCCAAAAGGGTTATTTATTGGTGTGTGCAGATAGGATCTCTGCGTGCAGACCTGGAGGTGGAGAACAAGAGACACGCTCTGGGATCGGAAAGATGAAAAGGACATTGACAAACGTGAGCGGGTATTATTTAGTATAAACAGTTTTTCTCATCTCCCTGTCCTGAATCATTCCAACTAACATGGCAACCTGGCCCCTCTATCACCCCCCTGTCCCCCTCACCCTTTCTGCTGGTGTTACTCTGCTGCCTGGGATGGCAGCAGCATGTGTTTAGCTTTGCAAACTTTCCGTGTTTAAATTTCCCTGGGTGATTTATCATCGTATTTATAAATGAAGGGTTAAACTCACTCTCTTTCAGTTTAAATTGTATGATTCTCCTTCTGGCAAGCTCTCCCTCAACTCTGGCTCAAACTGGCCAAATATGGTGTTTTTGTGCATGTCGGGGACCTTGCCCTATGTGTGGTGGAGCTTGTTCTGTGCGCCTCGTGCTCAGCCTGGGGAGGGTGGGTTTGCTGGCAACGGAGGGAGAAAGGGGGAGAAAGGGAATGAATCCAACTGCTGAAGGGGAAAAGCTGGTGCCCATCTAGCCTTCAGACTGTGAGAAGGGAGCTAACGTCCGGGGAAGAAAGATCACACCCTAAAGCAAAAACGGGGCTATTCCAAAGACAGGAATCACCCAGTGTGTGATACACCCAACTGCTGGGGAACTGCAGTTGGAAATAGTCAAACTCACTCCAGAGCTGGGTTATTCCTTTCCTTCCAATGCCATGGAAATTAAAGGTGCTTTGGAAACACAAAACGTGTAGTTCTGTGGGTGTCAGATTAAATGACACCTGCTTTCCTATGGTTTTGTGGCTTGCAGTGGCTTGCAGGGCTGGATGAAAGCTTTGCCCTGGTTGAGATGCTTATTATAACTTTTTCCCATGTGGACACTTGGCTGCCTTAATGAGCGCTCACGTTCCAGCTCTTCCCTTGGCTCTGACACTTGTTTGACTTTCTCTTCTCTTTGCTGCCTAATTTCCTGAAAATTGAGGTGATCTTTCCCTTCTGCCAAATTTTGGTTGAAATAAGCCAACAGATTGAAACGCATTAGGAGGATGGAGGGAATCAGAGCTGACAAACACACAAACAGGCACTTAGAGTGGTCCTTGTTTCCTCTGATATGAACCTGCAAGATGTTTGATAGCACTCTCCACCACACATCATTCCATTTAGATCTTATTCTCTGCAAATTCACAATTGCTTTGGTATTGAAACACTACAAAGAGGGCTGGATGGCTTCTTTGCAAAGCCAGAGTATCGCTTGCCTCTCACTGTTTTCCTGAAGTGAAATAATTTAGATTATAATTTAGAACAAGAGGGAATGGCTTCAAGCTGCAACAGGGTAGGTTTAGACTGGACATTAGGAAACAATTCTTTACAGAAAGAGTGGTCAGACACTGGAATAGGCTGCCCAGGGAGGTGGTTGAGTCACCAACCCTGAATGCGTTTAAGAGTCGTTTAGATGTGGTGTTGGAGGATATGGTGGGGGGAGAAATTTGTAGAGTAGGGTAGATGGTTGGACTCGATGATCCCAAGGGTCTTTTCCAATCTGAATGATTCTATGAATTTCAGATTTATACCAAATCATATCTTCCTCATGGCAAAACCAGCCTGGTTGGGGACAGGTGATAGCTAATTGCCTAGTGTCTGCACTGGTCAGCTATGGCATGTTTGCCCACGTGTAATGAAGATCATGATGGCCAACAACTCCTATTTTATCTAGTAGTTTGACTGGTCATGTGCTGAATTACAGCCTTTTTCTGGAAGAAGAAAGGTATGAACTTACTTTGCACAACCACAAGAGGGATTAACCCCCACTACTGACTTTTGCACCTCAGAAGTTGCCCACGAGAATCAAATTTCCCACCTGGTCAGAGGAAAAAAACTTGGATTTCCAGTCCCAGGCATGTCCAGGGGTTGTCCTTCAAGTCATGTAAGCAATCACAGAGTAAGGATGTATGGAGGTTAATGCAAAGTGGGTTGTTGGGCTGGTGTTGCTGATGTGCTATTGAGCCATTTGTCTCTTGCCTGATGTGCCCAGTTAGCCTACCTGTGGTCTTTAATCTCCAAGGCCCTGCTGGAGGTGGTGAGTGGTGATCTGAGCTCCACCCACCATGCTGCGTTTAGTGCTCTGTGTGCACGTGGGTGGATGTCATGCTCCCCAGCAAGCCAAAAACCAAACGCAGGTCCTCTGAGAGTGAGGGACCCAGATGCCTGGTTGAGTTTGGGACAAGCAATAGACTGTGGGTACTCAAGTCGTGGTTTAGTCCAAGAGGTCATCCTAGGCCATGAGGAATCACTGCCAGTTAGAAGAGGGAGAGCACAACTCTCCAAACTGCATTCCTCTTCTTCAAGGAGCAAAGTGACCCAGATGGGAGGGAAGCCACTTGGCTTGGCCCGGATGCCCACGCTCTGTGTCTAGACTTGAACCTGCTGCTTAAAACAAGATGAAGGACCAGCAGTGCAGAAAGATCTGCATGGTCCTCCCCCAGCCCTGTCCTGGGCATGCATGGAAAATATGGAATGAAGCTCTCAAAGATACACAGAGCAGGAAATTCACGTGCTGGCAAATTTATTATGAGCTTATACCTCCTCTGTGCCCATTTGCAGCAGCAATGCCTCAGCTTTTAAAAGAAGGAGCCCAGACAGATGACCATGTACAAGCAAACAAAGAAGTAGGACTGTACATACATTGCCTCTCTGGACCTGCCAATGTGCACCCAGGACTGGTGGTCACCCAGAGGTCCTTCAGCACATCTCTAATGAGGTTTGCTAGCACTGGTCACCTTAAAGTGCTAATAAAGGGTTTACTTCTCCACTTGCTTGTTTATACCACGCTGTGTAAAAAAGTCCCTCCTGAAACCTTTAGACATCTACAATGCCTGAGTGATACCGTTGCATTTTTCATGTCCCTCTTTTCTGCGTTACCAGATCTTGGCCTTGGAGTGATAGAAATATTGCGTGTCTTGCTGAATGCTCCATAAATCATGCTGTTAGCATTTAAAAGACCAATATCTCATCGCCTGTCAGGGCTACTACCAAGTGCCATCTGTCACAGGGGAGCATGGAGTGACATCTCTGCGGTAGGTGCTGTGTATTTCTAGCTCTGATACTTGAAGAGAAATCAGAGCATGACTTCTTGCCTGTATCCCTCTCTGTCCTTTGTGGACCAGTAGAAAGTGAGGGAAAAGCACTTATTTTTTGGAGATTTTTTTTTTTTTTTCTGAGAGGGTTTACATTTTTTAAAAAAAGCTAGATCTGGAAAGACACGTGGATTTGGAGTTTTATACGTCCAGCCAGTAGAGATGGATTTGTGCCTGTCTTCTTGGGAGGCTGTAACAGTACAAGAGAAATGCATTTGATTTTACTGGGATTAGAGTAATCCATCTAGCATTTCAAGGGTGTCTGAGACAAAGTGCTAGAAATGTCAGTTTGGAATAACAGCTATCGTGGCTGTGTACAAGGAGAACCCTGTGCTGAAAATTACCATATAGGCACATAAGGAAACGTTACAGGCAAGTGCAAAAAACTTAGCGGGAGATTAAATCAAGCAACATCTGGCCTGGGCACTGCTGCTTGCTTTCAAGGAGGAAATTTTTAATTTGCAAATTTAGCAACCTTTGAGCGCTTTTTCCCCTTTTCTGCCTTCAGCTGTCTGCTTTCTCTGTCCCTTGGCAAAAAGGTGGAGAAGGACAGAGCGACAGAGGTTTGCTGTTGAGGAATACCTGGGGTCCTGCATGGCCCAGGGATGAAGGAGAGATGAGGTGATGCTCCAGGGAGGTGACACAAATGCAGGAAGGGACAAAGGGGCGATGCAGTGGGGGCCAAGGGCCAGGTCACCATGAGCAGCAGCACAACCCATCTAAGATGCAGGTCTGTAGCTCAGAGCTCACTTCAAGTTGTGCTGCTCTCTTGGCTGCGGGGGGAAACTGAGGCACGGAGCCATGCCTGGGCTTGGCCCAGGGAATGCAGTGAGATGGGACACCTGGCCAGGGAGAAGACTTTTTTTTTTTTTTTAGGCATCCCAGGATAGATAACCAGATCTTAACCCTTTGGGAGACTGGTTCACGTGGTTTCTTTTGCTAGGCACTGTGCTCCCAGTGCCGTCAGGGATTTGCAAGTTTTAGATTTTCTAGGATAATCTGGAAAATCTTTGATCTGTTAGTGGGTGTGTTGCTATGAAAGCAGGGGGCATTTCTGAAGGAACCTGGTTAAGGACCTTGGAAGGGACCTGTTTCTCCTTAGACTGACCCAGCAGGCACATTCAGAGAAAGAAAACAGCATCTTTCCCAGAGCTGAGCTCGCACCCTCCTGCACGGCCAGAGGTGAAACCTCCCCAGTCACAGCAGACCCTGTGCCAGGCACTGCACTGTCTCCTCTCCTGGCTTCCAAACCCTGCCTGAATGCATCTCCCCCAAATTTCATTATGCTTGGGAACACACCGATACAAAGGAGACATCACCCCACCCCTCACAAGAGCTGCCATCGCGCTTTTCAAGGAGGGAAAGCCGGTACCTTTGCACACTTTTCATCAAACTCATCTCCTCGGGAAACAACCAAATACCACAGCACTGTCCCCAAACCCAAAAGCAGAGAAACTCGCAGTGGGGGAAGCCTCTTGCAGCCCCTCACACAGCCCAGATCTCCAGGTCGAGCACCTCCTGATGAACTTCCACACATTGCAAGGGCAGAGCCAGAGAGTTCCCGAGCTCCTCATCCACGTGTTTGATGTAGGACCCTCTCCCCCACCATCCCTGCCAGGGTTCTCTGCATGCTTTCCTCTCCAAACTTGGGGTCCAGTCCCCAGTGATTCCCTCCCAGCCCCCACTATCACCCCTCTAATCCCATGTCCTCCCCACACCTCTTTCTCTCTGACTGATATCCCAAAGCATTCACCGCAGTGATCCCTGCAGCGTATTCCTCCACGACGGATGGACTTACCTCTGGCCCGATCTCCCTTCTATGTTAGAGGAGCTGCCGGTAAGAAAATTTCCTCGTGGACCTGAATGCTATCGCCCCAGGAAAGAGACATCTGTTCCTACAAGCAGAACAACTGGAGTGACTACAGAATACGAAGAAATGCCTAATCTCTCTCTCGTGCTCTCTCTCTCTCTCTCTCTCCCCCCCCCTTTTCTAAATATAGCCTTGCAACTAATGGGAAAAAATACACACTACCAAAAAAAAAAAATATTTCCACTTGTCTTTAGTGTTCAGAATTTCTCCCCAAACATCTGGCTCCTTGCCCTAAATCTCTCTGAAATTTATGAAGTGCTGGAAACGCTGAAGAAGGGCTCCAGCCTTCCTTATGGTGCTAATGCCTGAATGTGTCCAGTGAACTAAACCTGATGGTGCTGCCCCTCTCTTGTCCCCTCCCCAGGTCACTTTTCCTGTGTCTCTGTGGGAACAAAATCTCTTTGCTGAGAACATACCGGCTCCAGGCCACCGCAATGCCACCGAGTGAGACAAGAGGAAAATACCTCTCTTTTCATCTTTCTGCTATGAACTGGGATTAGACAGAAGCATCCCTGGCAGTTGCGAGAAGGAGCTGGACCAAATGCCACAAAGCCTGTGACATGCTTTGAACCAACCCAGCTGTCCAGACCTTGAGAAGAAACCTGGCACAAGGAGACAAAGGGTGAAGCTGCACACCTCGGTGACGCTCTGGCTGCAGTTGTTTGGGAGAGGGGTTAGTAAGATTGATCCAAGGACTGGGCTGAAGTGTCTGAGTGTAGATTAGTCAAGGGTGGAAATAGAGAGTCTGAGGTTCCACCAAGGACCCCCCCACAACATGTTCCTCCATCCTTACACAGCCCTTCCCTACTGGTGGTAAAGAGTCATTGTGAGTTTCAGGTCCATCTCAGAGTGGGGAGTCAAGTGTCCCTTCACCCTTGGCTGTATGAGAAGAGATTGAGATTGGACAAAGAATAATGAACTATCCATTTGTTGAGATGGATTCAAACATGTGGCCAGATCAGCTTTCAAGATGTCTCTGTTGACCACTGCTGTAAGGACCCAAATCTCCCAAATCCCCCAAAGTCCCACCTCATGATGGATTATTTCCTGCTCTAAATTGGGTACCCAAAGAGCCCTCTTTTTGAGGGGCTTGCACAGATGTTCTCTCCCCTGAAGGGTTTACAGTAGCTTTGGAAGTCCCATCTGGGGAAAAAAAGGCAGAAAAAATTAAAGCGAGAAGTTTCATCAAGTTTAGTTGTTTAGAAGAACAGGGAACACGAACTCTGGATTTTCGTGTCAGCCCTGGACTGGTTTTTTCCCTCACCCTTTAGATAAAGACAACACTGGTGCCAATGCAATAAACACGCAGGATATGGCCCATCACAACACGACAGGATCAACTGAGCGGCATTGAATTCCAGGTCAAGAGGCCAAATCCATAAATAGAGGAGAGGTAAACTCCACACATGCGTGTCTCACTGGAGCACAAACAGTAGCTATGGTTATTAGAGAAGGTTGACCTCATTTTCTGGAATTAGTTTTTCACCCTTGGATCTTTCCCAGAAAGACTGAGCTGATCTTTTTTGTCTGGTTATTTTATTGATTTTCTATTTTGAGTTTCCTCACAATGAGGGACGGATTCTTCCCCCCAATTTCAGGAACATCCTCCTTGACTTTATGTGCCCCCTGATCCAAGCATCCAGCCTTTCACGACTGACCTCCAGCTCTGGCACGTGCCTGGGCTCTCATCTGCTTTTCACTTCCTTACAATTTGGAAAGCAAGGGTGACTGGAAGGCCTCCATGAGTCCCATCTGGGTAATAAACTTGCCTTCACTTCCTTGCATCTTGGGAGTTGAACAGGGGGAAGAACAAAAGAGAAGAACACAACTTATAGTCCAACGTTGGGCAGGGTGGACGAATTTGGACCCTAGCATTCTTATTGCCAATGGTGGCCGATGCTTAGTTTTCATCCACCTGTCAACAAAACTTCTGTTCTTAGGGAGTAGCTCTCAGGAGTTACAAATGTGAGATTGAAAGAAAGAGGACACTGTTCTCTAGGATGAGATATTGGTACCTACGGTCTCTTCACCTGCTCTGGGACTGCCTGGCCCTTCCCGTGCGAGGACTGTCTTGGTTTTGTGCTTCTGCATGATGCATGGGAGCTCTGTTCCCATCCCTGTGCATGGGATAACGAGTGCCCTGCACTCCCCCACTATCCCGACCTCCCCCTCCTTGCTGGATTTAGCAGACTCGGAGTGGTAACAGCTGCAAAGTTTCAAGTTGTGCCTGAGATAGTGCAGAGCATGCCATATTGGGAAGCAGATGCTGCTGTTAAGGTGGAGAAGGCACATCCGGGCCCAAGGGCCACGCTTTGTCCCAGATGCTGTTCCCACACTCGGCTTCAGGAGGAGTTGCAACCGTAGCTGATGAATGAAGAGCTTCTATCCTATCTTGGTTTTCAGTCATTTATCAACATCCCAGAGGGAGGGGGAGAGGAAGAAAAAAACCCTGAAGCTTTAGTAAGTGGAAAATTTTCAAGCTTGTTCGCTGAATATGCCACAATATTAAATATTGTAGTGAATGCCTTGAGATTGTAGGTGGAAGAAGGTATTGACTCAGCCGAAATTAGCACATGGAAAAGGAATAATAGCTATGGCAGGGAAAGATGCTACTGGCCCATAATAATTCCTAGCAATTCCTTAGCTGCGCCATATAAAATAGGGATGGGACAGGACTGTTTAAAACTCTCCTGTGGCACAGAGCAACAAAGCAGGAGGCCAGACAGCTCTGAAGGAGGTTGTCAGAAGCCTGATGCCACACAATACCCTGGGGAGATGTCTTCTCAGCTTTTGTCAGGAGAAGGGTATACTTTTCCAGTCCTATTCAAAAATGACAGAATCATAGAATCACAGAATGGTTTGTGTTGGAAGGGACCTTTAAAGGTCATCTCTTCTATCCCTCTTGCAATGAGCAGAGACATCTTCAACTAGATCAAACCTGATTAGACTCTCATCCAACCTGACCTTGAATGGACATCTACCGCCTTTCAGGCAACCTATGCCAATGTTTCACAACTCTCATTGTAAAACATTTCTTCCATATATCTAGTCTGAATCTTTCAGTTTAAAGCCATTACCCCTTGTCATGTTGCTACAGATCCTGCAAAAAGTCTGTCCCCATCTTTCTTAAAAGCCCCCTTTAAGTGCTGAAAGGCCTCAATAAGATCTCCCTGGAGCCTTCCTTTCTCCAGGCTGAATAGCAACTCTCTCAGCCTGTCCTCATAGGAGGGGGTTTCCATCCTTCTGATCATCTTCATGGCCCTAAAAGGGGGAATTGAGTGTCCTTTGATTCTCTGCTCCAGGGGAAGAGATTGAGATTGGAGACAGCGTAATAAAATATTGCACTGCTGAGATGGGGTCAAGGGACGTGGCTGGATTAGCTTTCAAGATGTCTCTGCTGTCCAGGTCTGTAAGGACCAAAACTAGAATCTGATGTCTGAACATGCCTGCTTTGTTTTAGGAAATTGAATTTAGGCTCTGTTATACTGAACAGCTCCTCAGAGATGGATTATCTCCTGCAGTGGTGAAGGAGAGCTTCTACCCAAGAAGGTCTGGAACCCAGACATGACGGAATCAGAGCTCAGAAAATTGAGGAGCCTTTACTATGACTGCCTGGAGGACACTAAAGAGTGGGATCCTCCCTCCATGGAGGACAGTGAAGGGTGGGATCTTCATTGAGCAGTCTGGGAAACCTCTTTTTATCAGAAACTTCAGAGAAAGTGAACTCACATGCCCATAGGAAACCTCCATTGAACATTCTCCCATTTTTCCTCCAATACACATGTTCCTGAGACATTTTTCCACTGTCTTGCTCCTGCACCAGGAAGCAGGAGAACCAGAAGAAGAAATGGGAACAAGTAATGCCCACAGTCAGAACAAACACACAAAACCATGAGCCTGTCCTCAGAAGACTGCTTGTAGGGGAGGTTACCCAGCTGATGTAGCTGCAGGTCAATGGAGAGGAGTAGATGGGCTCTGATCCCTGTCATGCGAGTAAACCCTTTGCCATGGCAGATGAAGTTAATCGCATGGAGAAGAGTCTACAACCATTTTACTCTCCCCAACTACTCTTCCCTCTAGAAAAATCTGCCCCAAAAAGTGCTCAGGCCTTAATAAGTGCTGGAAAACACTCATGTGTGTCCCTACGATAAGCACTGCCCATGAGCCCTAAATTCTTGATTCTCTACAGTCTCCAGGGCTATCGTGGGATGCTGTGAGTCAGATGCAGAGTTGACCCAGAGAACTAGGTTGGTTGTCACTGGTGGACCAAGGGTGGAGAAGTTGCTGTGCTGGATCCCCTTCCAGGAATCACCTCCTACAGAACATAACTGCCAGGAAAGCACCACACGGCGTTTGGTTTAGGGGGAAATCTGTGGACAGTGAGACTCTCCACAAACGTGTGGCAATTTCCCTCCTTGCAGAGGGGCTTGTGCTTCAATCCCATCACACTTCCTTATTGTTAACAAGCGGGATGTTCATTGCCTTCCCCTAGAAGGAGATACTTGGACAGCAGTGTGGGAATGCTGTCAAAGGATGAGGAACAAATCACTGGCTTCTGTCCCAGTCCTTCTGCAGACCATAATGGACCCTGACAGATGAAAGCACCTGCCCTAATTTTACAGCCACCTGCCAAGAGGGAGGAGAAGGGAGAGAAGCTGTTATTTAGCGGGAACAGCTTGTAGCTATTCTGGTTTGGTGGAGCTGAGAAGGACCAGGGAAACCCCCTGACTCCTTGTTTTACTTTCAGATTGGGTCTTGCTCATGCTGTGGGTGGCAATCTCCTTGCCAGCGAGGCACAAGGGTGGGAGGCCTTGTGGACAGGCATGGGAAGGAGCTCAAGGGCTGGATTTGACTCTCCAGGACTTAATTTTCTCAAGTTGAGTCAAAATTGGCCCCTGCAGAGATGCTGAAACTCAGGTGGGTGCAGCAACCCCGTGGCAGAGAGAGAGAGGCTTGGGTAGCCACCACAGGGTCTGCAGAAAAAAGGGAGTTCACAGGGAATCAGTGCTGGAGGTTGCTCCTTATCCCTCACTCAGTCCTGCTCCATCACCAGCGAAGGAATGGGCTTCAGCTGCTGGGCTATTGAGGGTCATTTTCTGCTGGTCTCATAGTGATCCAGGCATGCCATGCTGGGACATCTGGGAGATCAGAGACCCCTTTGGAATCTGAACCCTGAAACATGCGCAATGACTATGCCTAAAAAGGTATCCGGAGGGGCTGTAGGGAAAGATCAGAGCCCTCTGTACTGATCTCCAGATAGAATCTGCAGGGAAGAGGACAACCTTTTTCCCCCTCCTGTGATGCTGGGTCAGAAACACCAAAGAGGCAAAGAAACATGAGGTGCTTCTGCCTGGAGAAGGAGAGCTTGGACCTCTCTCCCTGGTCATGTTCAACATCCCAGGGCTGATTGCCTGACTCTCAGCATGGACAACAGAGGCTGTGGTGAGCCATAAAAGATGGTCCAGCTGCCTCTGAAAAAGCATCTCAGCAGGGCCTGGAGGCAGCTGCACCTACCTGACAGAAGAAGCTCAGCGGGGAGTGTCTCCTGCCAACTGTTTGAGATCACAGGCACTTCCCAGCGCCTGCTGTCCTCAGAGGACAGCAAAGGGCAGAGGCCACCATTAGCGTGTGGCCCTGCCTCTGAAGAGGCTCCCCATCTGCATGTTTATACAAGGAGGGAGATCAGACAGTGGCTGTATGGGGTCCTCTGCTGCCGGGCTCCAGCCACGATTTGTCTGTTTGATGAGGAACAGGGAAAGACAAGTGGTTCCCAAGTCACGGTCATGGCTCCAGTTGGGTGAACCAGGCACGGGGGAGAGAAAGTGTGCAAGAGCCAGTTTCCTGCCCACCCGCCCGCTGCATATTTGGGAATTGACTTTGCTGACCATTGCCTCCCCCTCCATTTTTCTTCTCAGGCCATGGCAATTTTGCTGACGGACCTGCTGAGCTGCAAAAAAAGAATAATGAAGATGTTTTCAGGGCATGAAGAGCAAGCTGCCCCTCTGGGTGACCCTGAGGTCACTCCCGGGTGGCTGGTTTGGAGGACATTGGTCCTGTGTCTCCAGATCTTGCACAATGAATCGTAGAATCATAGAATGATTTGGGTTGAAAGGGACCTTAAAGACCATCCAGTTCCAACCCCCCTGCCTTGGGCAGGGACACCTCCCACCAGACCAGGTTGCTCAAAGCCCCATCCAGCCTGGCCTTGAACCCCTCCAGGGATGGGGCAGCCACAGCTTCTCTGGGCAACCTGTTCCAGTGCCTCACCACCCTCACGGTAAAGAATTTCTTTCTGGTATCCTAAATCTCCCCTCTTCCAATTTAAAACCGTTACCCCGTGTCCTATCACTACAATTCCTGACAAAGAGTCCCTCTCCAGCTGTCCTATAGGCTCCCTTCAGATACTGGAAGGCTGCTCTAAGGTCTCCCTGGAGCCTTCTCTTCTCCAGGCTGAACAACCCCAGCTCTCTCAGCCTGTCCTCATAGGAGAGGTGCTCCATCCCTGTGATCATCTTCATGGCCCTCCGCTGGACCCATTCCAACAGATCCATGTCCTTCCTGTGTTGCGGACTCCAAAACTGGACACAGTGCTCCAGGTGGGGTCTCACCTTCGTGAGGGTCGTCAAGTTGGATGTGCCCTGTCCTGGTATAAATGTACCCTGTTGGGGGTGAGTCAGGATCCCTCTGACAATCCCTCACAACAATGACAAGGATCCTCATCCCAGGCACCAACAAAATGAGCTGCAGAGACCCTTTGGCCACCCAACATGGCATGTCGTGTCTCACTGCCCCTTGCTATCCAACCAGCATCGGGATCCCTTGCGGGGTCCTGCTCTGACTTTTACGTCCCCCCCTCAACCTGACCCTGGCCAACGGCCACCTCTTTTTCTTTTCTTGCTATTTTTTTCAAAGTTTCGGGAGCTAATTGCCAAGAACACAACGTCCAGTGTCACAACCTCACTGCTGAGCTCCCCCCATTCCCAGCGAAGTATTTCCTGCCGGATTTGTTTGTCGCTGGGCACACAGGGACACTGAGGCTTGGAGGGGAAAGCTCTACGCAGGCCGCCAGGGCTTTGGCATCGCTCGGGCACATGTGCCCCGGGGAGGTCAGAGCTGGGCAGAGCAGCTCTTGCCCCGCTTTGGCTCGAGGTCTACAAAGCAGGAATTGGCAGGATGTTTGGCCTGGATGCTGTGGGATGTGGCTTGAGGGTGGAGGAGAAAGCCTCCAGGCAGCTCCCAGCTCTCTGCTCTTGTGTCTGGGGAGGTGGGAAGCACAGCTTGGCAGGGCTGAGATGGGAAAAACTCTGATTCAAGGCGCCCTGTGAGGCTGCAGAGGACAGAAGGCAAGGACAACACATGGCAAGGAAGTGGTGGGGACCTTAGGGGACCAGTCTGGTACCTCCACCTGCTCTGATTTAGCAGTGATCACAAACCTGGCAAGGGGCAGCGGGGTGCTCTCCGGGCCGTCTGTTCAACAGCTGGGGTCCTTTGCTGTACGAGCAACCTCGCCCGGGAGGAAGGACACCTGCAACTCAGAAAATCTGCTATTTGGACCCACGCTCCTCGAATGACTTTAGGGAATGACGTCCTCTCCCCGCTCCCTCTCCTCAAACATGCTAATCCTCCTCTCCCGTCCCCTTTGTCCGCCTGGTTTGTAGAGATTTGGAGTGGCTCAGGGCAGGGCTGTCTTTTGTTAGACATGCACAGAGCTCAGCGATGCTCTGATCTGGAACTGGGCGGCATAAATCTGATGGATTAGAGTCGGAAATGCCACAGTGATGAAAACCCCTATAGGAACAGGAAGAAACGAAAGGGCCCCATTTGGGGAGAAAAAAACCCACCCCCAAACCACCCTGCTGCTGCTGCCTGGCTACAAGTGATTCCTAAAATTGCTGCCTCTGGAAAAAGGCTGGTACATTTGCTGACTTTTTTTTGTCTGTTATTTTTGAGGAGGTGTTTTCCTTTGTGTTTTCAGCTGTTGGGAATTACAGCTCCTGTCCCGGCAGGCAGTCCCTGCTCCCACAGTGAGCTCTGTGTGAGGGGCCTCACCGGGGACAAAGAGCCACTTTCTGAGGAGGTGCCTCAGTTTCCCTGTTGCTGAAATGACCCCTCTAAGCACAAGGTGCAGACAAGCCCTGGGAAATTTTCAGTAATGGAAGGAAGGAATCATCCATGTGATTTAAAGGGGTTTCTTACTGGAAATTGCAGCGCCAGAATACTCAGTTTTCTCTTGAAGACAAATGGGTGGGCAGCAGAAGCCAGCAGGTGTTGGTAGTGTTGGTGGATTTTGCTTTAGGATCACAAGCCCTTCTTCTCTCACATGGGGCAAAGGGGACCTGCTGTGGACCCGAGTCACGTGGAAATGTGCCAGTTCAAGAATCCAGAGCAGTATTTTCTCTGACTGGGATGAGGTTATAGACAGGAATAGATTGACATGGCTGGTTATCAAGGAGGCCTTGAACTCATTGATGTGTGGGCAATGGATGGTATGATGGAGGGAAGACCAAGGCCCTACTCCAGTTTGTGTTTATGGCCTCAAAGCATTTTTTTTTATCAGGAGCAAAGCTCAATCTGCCACTGCTGAATCATTCCTTTCCATAACTTCATCTTGTTATTGATAGCCTCAGTCTTTGTTATGGTAGGAGGTGCTGCAAGGTGCTATTTGACATGCCCTTTGTGTCATCTGCAGGGATTTTTTCTGCAAAAGCACTGTTGGATGTAATAAATAGTGTTAAATGGGCTAATGAAAGGGCCATCTGTCTCTACCTTGGAAAAAGTCCAAACCAAAGCGGTGGGAATGACCTGAGGTCCAGCAAGCATGACCCACCAGGAGAGACCAGCGGAACTGGGCTTGTTTAGTAAAGAGAAGAGAAGATCAAAGGACACCTGTTAACATGTGCAGAGATGTCTGTGGCAGCTTTCTTGGGAATGGTACAAGGTGGGTTCATCTCACAGGGCTTAGCTCGTTAATACAAGTCTGTACTGAGGCACCAGCCCAGTTCGCAGTGGTCCCAGTGTAGAGACCTCCTTTGGATAAGAGGAATCCTATTTCTTATGTCTTCTTCTAGGGCAGAGATGTGCAATCAGAGTCCCTGACCTCTGTAAGGCAGAGTTAGAGCCACAGCAGCGGCCGGGGCAGCTAGAGGATTGCCCGACGGTGCTAGAGCCACAGGTTAATCCCATGGCTGTAACACAACCTAAGTGGCACCGTCTTTGGGGCAAATTCCACTGGCTTCTTTAAAGCAAAAATCCAGCCTGCTGTGGTTGCTAAACTGGGCTCTGCTTCTTTGGGTGTCTTTCCATTTTCCAAGAAAAATAAACCGCAGGCTCTGTATTTTTAGATATGCCATCTGATCGCAGCTAGTCATATATCAGTCCCAATAATGTGAGTCAAGATGCTGAGCTCTGCTGCTGAACTCCCTTGGGCAAGAGCTAGTGGCTTCAGCCATCCCGAGGGTATTAATAAATCAGTGTGTTTAAAATAATCATGCACTTCCCTAGGTGAGCTGCTCGTGAGGAATCATACTGTGAGGATTTATTACTGCTGGTGTCTTAGTAGCGTCGCTTCTCTGGGTGAACTCAATACTGTCGTGAGTGGGAGATGAACAGCCCTGGTATGAGAAGGACCTAATCTAGGCAGAGGCCAGAGGCAGCACGACTCCCTTTCCTTTCCCTCTCCCGCCAGTGACTCTGATTACTAACATCTGCCCCTTGCTATTTCAGTCCTGGGTGTCCTCTGAGGCGGCCGCCGGTCGGAATGACCTTTATGGTGGCTTCCCGCAACAGCAGGATGTGACAACCATCTCTCCTTGTGCTGCTGACCTGAATCTGCATTGCTGAGGTGGGAAACGCATAGGGACTACTCCCTTCATTGCCAAACCCCTTTGTGGGTGGTGGGAGAAGGGGTAGCTTGGGGACAGCATGTTTCCCTGGGCTGAACCCTATGTAACCCTACCCCGTGCAACCCTGCTCCATGCAACCCTGCTCCACAACTCAGCCCTGGACCCCTTTGGAAAGTATCTGCTCAACCTACCTCGCACAACAGTCTTCAAAAATGTGGAGTTACTGGCGTATTATAAATCTCTGTCCCTCCCTGACTCACTCCAGCCTTCACAAGTCTGTGTCTTTAGCAGCAGTGCAGCCTGGGGACAATTTTCTGTGCGTTTGATCAAAGTGGCAGGAAGCCTTGAGGGTGGCGTGTGAAAAATGGGCTAGCTGGTTCCTGAAAGTTTATTTGTTGAGCTACTTCATCACTCTAACGACCATCAATTTATCCACATAATTGGTAGCTGGAGACAGCAAAACATGGCTTGGCAGCCTGGATTTTTCTCAGAGATGTATTGCTTGGCATATTCAACCGAGACCCAAGAAACCAGCCTGGCTGCTGGGGGACTGCAGCTGTGAGCACCAAGGAGGTGAAACCTGGCATGACCACCCAGCTTTCTCTCTCCACCCTGCCAGAAGAAGGATCCTCGGGGTGAGGATGAAATAAAACAGAATTTCAGCAAATCTCCACAGCATCGTAGAATCATAGAATGGTTCGAGTTGGAAGGGATGTTAAAGATCATCCAGTTCCAACCCCCCTGCCCTGGGCAGGGACACCTCCCACCAGACCACGTTGCTCCAAGCCCCATCCAGCCTGACCTTGAACCCCTCCAGGGATGGAGCAGCCACAGCTTCTCTGGGCAACCTGTTCCAGGGTCTCACCACCCTCAGAGTAAATAATTTCTTTCCAGTATCTAATCTAAATCTCCCCTCTTTCAATTTAAAACCATTACCCCTTGTCCTATCACTCCATTCCCTCATAAAGGGTCCCTCCCCAACCTCATCCATGAGGCCAGAGCTTACTGGTGATAGCTTCTCTGTGGGGCAGCTCTCCAAAGAGACCCAAATCCATCTCTCCAGGTATCCCGTATCGAGGGCTGACAACCTCAGTGCATGCAAGGATTGGGAGCTGTCTAGTGGACCATCAGACCAGGAGCCATACCCCATGTTTCTTACCCTTAGGGGCATTTTCCAGAGCACTATCTTTTTGGCAAGTATTTGTAGATAAGGTGGTTGGAGTCATGAAGAGGAGGGGACATTTGACAGTAAATCTTTTTCCACCAGTGTGAAAGAAGTCATCCTTTCTGTTGTGTGATAATGGCTATAGTGGTGCTTCTCAGGCCGTGACAGATGAGATGCACATCTTTTATGAATTCTGCATAAGATGTAATAAAGAATTCAGTTCCTCTGTGTCTATACACTAATGGCATATTGATCCCAGTAAATATCACGCTGAGATTGAACAGCAGCATCCCTGGTTAGTGTCATCCTGACGGGTGACACTGTTTCTTTGGGTGTCACAGCCAAGCTCAGCCCAGTCCCATCTGACCCACACAGCTTTACTGATCTGGCTGGGGGCTTCACTTTTCTATTCCCCGGATTCACCCTTCAACCTCAGCACAATTTCTCCTCCGTCTGGATTTTGTCATGCTCAGCTGGACTCGGCCGTGCCTCTCTAGGACTTACTGGATGGGAAGTGTTTCCTGCAAAGAGCAGGATTCGCTCAGGTATCCTTAATAATTCATTTCGAGCAGGAGTAAAATTTGGGGCTAAAAGCTACAGATTAAAATGCAAGTATGAAAAGCAGAGGAGAGGTAAAAGAGAGAGCAAGAAGGGATGGCAGGATCCTTACAGTGTTTACAGATGGGCTTGTTAAGAAGCAGCAGACGTTCCTCAGAAGACTGTAGACTTTACCTTAGGTGTCACAGGAGGTTCGCTAACATGCACATTTAGGTAATATATTGTCTCACCTCCCCCTAAACCAGCAACTGGGCATTTACAGAAACCTGCTGTAACAGTCCGTGGTGTAAAGGGAAGTCCAAACAGTGTGCGCCGTGTGTGTTGGTCAGAGCTGACAGAGCTGTGTCTCAGCTGACACAGAGCTCCCCTGGGGGATTTTTTGGCTCCCGCTTTAAAAAGGGCTCTGGAATTTGGCTGTCTCCGTTTTTAGATGTCAGGACTCGCATCTCCTTAAAGGGGGAGTTTTCCCCCAACGTGGATGTTAAACATCCCTCTTTACGTGTCTCCGTCCCTTCAAGTACAGACAGCCAAAATCCCACAGCCCTTCGGAGGAGGTGGAGGGCAGGACTCGGTCTTCCCCCCGTGAAGGGGGACCCAACCCATGTTCCCCTGGGGGAACCATGTCATCCCCAGGGCACGATGCACGTAAGGGGGAGCAGAGCCATGGTGGTGGTGTACGTGCGTGTGGTGGGATTTATTGCTGTGTGCAGCAGCCTCCCCCGTTCTGCTTTACTCAGGAGAACGTGCTGTGAGGGATGTTTCATGTACAATTCCTTCCCTGGCCTTTGCCTCCTTCTTCAAAACGGGGGAAGGAAGACTCGTAGGATGTTTTTGGCACCTTTACTCTGAAGAAATGTCTCCCTGTCTGTATTTTATCTCAAGGCACTGGGGAGATGGGCAAGGAGGCTTGAGCAGAAGGAGGCAAAACGTGCTGAACTCGATTGATTAATGAAGTGGCTGCTCAGTTGCACTGCTAAGTTGCCACGTGTCCTTGTAAGAAAGAAGGAGGGGAAGGAGAGGATTTTCTTTCTAATTGTGGATTGGCAGAGATTTTCCTGCACAATGGAGATAGATGGAAAAGAGGTTACTAAAGAGATTTCCACCAAGGGCAGGCTTCTGCCCTCACTTGTGCCGGCAGATGCTGCACGGACGTGGTGGGCATTTCTGCCTCCTTTTCTCCCCAGGTGCCCAGCTTTCCTCTGTCTCTGCTCAGGGATGGATTTACAGAGTGAGCCCGAGATGCAGCATTGCAGCTAATCATGGGTGACAGGGGCATTTGCCCCGGTGGTTTTCAATTGGGACTGTCACGCGCACGTAATAGGGATTAAACATGTACGCCCACTCTCTTTTCTTTGTGAATGGGGCTGGGGGGAGAAAGTTTTAGCTTTGCTGAAGGACCTGCCACATCAGGAAAAGGGCTGGCTTTTTTTTTTTTTTTTGCTGAAGAAGAAAAATTGGCCCTGGAATGTGAGAAATGTTAGAAGAAAAGGCGCCTCGTGTTACCAAAACACAGCTGGAACAAGTCCGAAGAGCCGCGTTGGCAATTCATCACACTCTGCCACTGAGTGTAGTTTGTGTAAACGACAGGAGATGCTCTCTATATGATGTGCTGTGGCCAGACACGTCTCAGCTGGCAGCCAGCAGGGCCATTCATCCCTCTCACCCACACCAGCTCTGGCCTGGATGCCACCCCTTCCTCCATGTAGCACCCAAAGCAAGGACATTTCCATACTGTTTCCCTGGGGAAAGTCTTCTGCTTCCTAACCACATATTGTAAAGCTCATTTTGAGCCTTCTCTGACCACTTTTTTTCATGAGCTGAGTCTAAAAGCTCCGTGCCCAGCTCTGCATCTCTATACAGGTACACTTGCAGGATGTGTACATGTAGATGTAGCTAGCTTTGACAGAGGTAGTCAGTATATGGAGATATACCAGTAGTATTCAATTTTCCATGCAGAATTCCTTGGGCAGCTTTTTATGTATAGACACATATGTATGTGTCCTCATACACACGTTGCTGACTGAGATAACCAGCACAAATGCACTCTGGCATCCAAATGGACCAGTTCAGTATCTAGAAACACCCACATTTCCCTGGATGAGACGTTCTTTTCCTTTGCCCCAGCCCTAAATGCTCCAACCCTCCTCTACCTCTGCAGCCCCCGGCACGGGGGACCCTCCTCTCCCTCTCCACGCTGTTCCCACCTGCCTGGAGCCAAACTGAATCCAAACCCACGTGCTTCCTTTCCTCTCCACCCGGCTTGCGAGGACTCCCATCCCCATCCGCATGCTTCCAACCTCTCCGGGACCGGAGCACGCTGCAGCTGGAGAAGCTCCCTCCCTCCCTCTCCCCCCTCGCTGCCTTTCCCAGCCCGAAGGACACCACAGCTGGTACTTACACAGCCTGGATGAGAAACCTCAGCTGCCGATCCCTGAGCTCTCTCCCAGATTCCTCCACCGGGTGACCGTGCTCCTGCTCGCTGGCTCCCCAGCCCTCAGCCCGGCGCGGGGATGATACAGGAACCAGACCTCTTTGGTTTACTTTTACATTGACGTCAGTGTCTTTCCTAGCCTCCACAGCTCGTTTTGGTAAAAGGATGTCTTCGGGATAGAGGGGAGGGGTCGGAAAGGGAGAGGAGTGAGGATGAGCTGGAGATGAGTTTTTGTGATGTGGGCAGCCAGCGGTGGGAGATTTTAGGGGCTAACACTGAAAGAAGGGGTGCTTAAGGAGCCCACCTTGACCCTGGGTGTAGATCATCACCTGGACACAGGTATGTTGGAGGCCTGACCCTCGCATCTGCACAGAGAGCTGTTTTCCCATCTGCCCCACCACCCCAACTGGGACACCCTGACTTCCCCTCACGTTTGCTGGCTGTTCATACCTGGGTGCTGGTTCAAGGGGAGAGAGAACGTTGAGGGATCGAGGGAGGTCTGTTGTCCCTACACAACGCCACAAAAACACAGCTTCCCTGTTGTGCTGCCTCTGTACCCAGGCCAGGGCCAGTGTCTGTCTCCAAGGAAAAAAGGAGATGCCAGTTTGAGTTGGTTTTACCATCTCAAAGGATGGCCTTAAAGACATGGGCTCCATGGACCATGAAGTTATAGATACATGTGCACCTGAACATGCCTCTTGATGCATTCAGATCAGCCTTTTACAGGCTTACAAGTTGCAGCATCCAGAATTCAGATTCAAGGACCTAAATAACTCACCTCTCCCTTGACCCTTGTAAGGTTGGAGAGTGCTTTTCTCCTGTGGAGATCCTGCTCTGTCAGGATAAGGCTCAGATTTTATCCTGGATTTTTTGCTGCAGGGTGCCCACGTCCATCTCCCAGCCTTGTGCACCCACTGTGCATGGGTGTGTTTTTGGGGCATGTACAAAGTTGGTGCTTGTGAGGAATTTGGGGAACACCAGCAGAAAGTGCAACCTGTTAGTGCGATGGTTAATGCTGAATTACTCAGAGGAGATCAATCACACCTGTGTTTAGGGCTGTTTTCTGGCTGGGAGCAAAGACAGATTTTTTTTGCGCGGCCAAACAACTTCCAGGAATTACAACGTAAGGCTTTCGTGACCTAAATGCTGATAGTTTTCTATTAGGTTCCTGCGTATTCATTCACTTGAGTATTGTGATGCAAACACTTGAGCACTCGGATGTTATAGCCCCGTGTAAGGGCAAATATGGAGCTTGCCCTGGTGCTGTTGCACAACAGCAATTAAACCTGTGCCCTCCCTGGTCATGGATCACCTTCCTATGATGCATTTTGTCCAGCTCATAACACAACTGGTCTGTCATCTGTTATTAAACCATCTGTATGACACCTTGATGCAAAGCATTCATTACAAGCTCTTAGGAGCCAAGCACTGAGATTAGTCTGTGTGAATCCAGGCACCAGCGCCCATAAACAGCCCCAACCACCTGATGATATCGGTGTAATTGGGCTGGGAAACTGTAGTAATAAAACCTTCCAGGGAGCGGGGATTATTGACAAGGAAGCATCACCTGGTACCACCAGAATGACTGGGCTGTACTGGTTTATTTAAAAAAAAAACAGTGGTGAGAAAATAGTTCTTGAGCCCAGTGTACTATCACTGCAGAGAAGAGACATAGGAGGGGAAAGCTCTTTGGTTGTTCAGCACATCCGTGGCGGAGCCAAGTAATAAGTCCGGTTTCTTGGCCATTGGATCACACAGTCTCCATCATAAATAACACTAAAGTCTCAAAGATTCCCGGTGTCCTTGTCAGGACCAATACATTGTTCACAGCTGAAGAAAGACAGAGTCTTATAAAAACCAGAAAAAGAGGTCCTCGTAAATCACCGTGTCTATACTTAGAAATGTGTTAAACCTTCTAAGCTCCGTTTCAGAGCACATAAAGTTTTTTTTTTTTAATTTTTCCGAGTTGAAAAATCCATCCAAAGGTCAGTCAGAAACAGGACTAAAACTGTCTTTGAAATCTCAAGCTGCTGTAATAGCATTTTTGGCAGTAAATGATAAACTTGAACCGTTGAGGTTTACATGGCAGATGAAGTGAACACGTATTTGTCTATACATTAAATGACCCAGCAGTGGCCCTTTTTCATGTCTTCTCCCAACCTATCAGACTATTTATAGTTTTTTACTACAAATGGACCTCCTGAACAGAAGAAGGCAGACCAACTAGTTCTGAAGAAAAAGTCACAATGGAGCTGTGCCCATAAGCCATCATTCCTGGGCAGGAGTCCCATTTTAATGATAACCTCCCAGGTAGCAGGAATATTAACTCTTCATTTGCCTGGCAGGGATTTTTACAGTCTTTCCCAGCTTTTGGAGGGCATGAAGGGTTGTTCAGGGAGATCCTATGATCTTCTTGCTATTCTTTAATTGCATGGGCTCACACATGCCTTAACTGGGTGCCGAAGGACAACTCCAATGGCTCAAGGTGCAACCAGGTGTAAAACCAAATTGAGCCCCAGCACGCTCTCCCAAGATGGGTGGCCAGTGGCCTTGTCACTTGGCCAACTGACCGACTGAGGGGTGAAACAGGTCAGATTTCAGCCACTTTCACCTTCATTTAAGCCTTCAAGCAATGCCTTATCTCTGTGATCGGTGAGTTCTGTGCTGGAGAGAGGGAAGGCAAGAGAAACTGCTAGAGGTCCTTTAGCTCCAATGCTGCCCCAAACATTAGCCCCATAGGGAAAACTCCACAGCAAAGTTTACAGACAGAAGGGACTGAAGAAGACAGTGAGTGGATTTGTCCATGAAGACATTTTGATGCTGTCCATGCAGCTGCCCAGGGTGAATAACATCTGGGTTCTCACAACGCTCCCATGGTGCCCTCACCACGTGGGGCCTCACTTCTGTGCTTTCAAATGTGTTTTTTTTTCTCTTGCCTCGCAAAAGCAGCTTTTTGTGAATGAGAGCTGGTCCATCAGTAAGGGAAACAATGGCTCGTAAAGACAGCGTGGTTCATTTGGGACCCTGCCAGGAGTTATTATTTCTCCCAGTGCACTTTCGCCCGAGCTGAAGGTTTGCTTCAGAGGCTGCATTGTCCTTGCTTTGCTGCTCAAGCACCTCTGTGGAAGTGGCTTCAGGGTGAGGATGGTGGGAACTAGGGCTGAGCTCACTTTGCTAAGAGCTTTACCTTTCCCTCCTTTCCCATTTTGCAGAAATTTAGGTATCAGAGCAGACTCAGGGAAAAGCGAAACAATATCCAAGGATTTTGCTTACAAAATGAACATGTGGCAGCAGTTATCTGGATATTTTTCTCCCTTTCTCAGTGACTAAGTGAATAAGCTGATTGCAACCAATCTGCATCTTTACCCATCCTCTTCGCAAGGCAATAAGCCTGTGATCTGGGCAAATCTCCAGAAGTCTTTAATCTATATCTGCAAAAGCCTTTTGCCATGTGAACATACCGGACTGTGATGCCACTATCTAAGGAACATATATGGTGGGGCTGCCTGGTCCCATGGGCTGCCTGGCTGTGTAATAGCACGGCTCCTGCTTTCTGTTGTGAAGGAATATGTGTTCCCTCCCTTCTAGGCTTGCCACAGTAAACAGAGCCCTGAGAAATCACCCTTCTAACACCAATAAAAATCTGTTATTTTAAAATTTTTAAGGCAGTCTGTTTTGGAGCTATTTCTGGGAGCTCTGGCCTGTGTAAAATTCCATGCCCATTTCAAATACTCTTACTACATTTCTTCCATCGTCTTGCTCTTCCATTCTGGCTAATATTAAGATTAAAAATATAAATAAAAACCCAACAGCAATGTCCCGCACTGCCCAAAGTGTCTCAGACAAACTGGCAAAGCACAGCGATTTTAAGGCTCAGTGGCCCAACCTTCCGAGCCCTTAAGGCTTAACTTTCCATTAGTCAACAGGACAACTCCTATAGGTCTTAGTTCAGTTGGTCAGAGAAGGACATACATAACTAATGGACTGATTTGCAAATGGCAGATCATCTTGTACTTGAGAATTTTCCATGGTTTAACCTTTAATGGAGGAGGTCAGGTTCTTGAGGGAACCACCTGCTCCATTCCTTGCAGTGCAATAGGACGGGTGCCCCACAGCATAGCAGCAATGCCAACGCCAGCTGATGTGCAGAGCTGTGCCCAACTGTGACAAGAGCTAGAATAAGCTGTGCACTGTGGGAACGCCAGTTGGATGCAAAGCTGGTGATTTGTGCACTTGCACCTTGGCTGCTTAGTGTGGGTTTGACAGGTAAAATGAAATTTCTTGTGAATACAGTTGTCGTCACAGGACATGAGATGTAATAGCTTTTCCTTGGCTTTCCTAGAATAGTAATTTTGGATAAAAGACTTTCTCAAAACTATTTGTGAAAGAAAACAACAAACCAATACCTGAGCTGGAGCCCAAATGATTTTGACCGATCTTCTACATAACATCAGGTGGTTCGTGGCTGAATGCTCCTCCTCCCACGAGCAGGGGTATGCATATCTACAGACTGGCCTTGTCTACACCCAGATCAGGGGATGGCAGCAATCTGCCTTGGAAAGGAAGTTTTCTGGGCTGTCCCTGAACTACAGTTTAAAACGATCTATCAAACCATTGGTGGAATTGCCATCCCTGGAGGGATTTAAGAGACAGGTAGACGTGATGCTTAGGGAGATGATTGAGTGGTGGTTTTGGCAGTGTTAGGTTGATGGTTGGACTCGATGATGTTAAAGGTCCCTTCCAAACTAGATGATTCTAGAATTCTATGATTCTAAGCCTTTGTATGCATATGCCAAGCCATTAACATGCCATTTGCTCTGTGCAAGTGATACGTTCCTAGAGACAAACTGACTTCTGAGTCTTATTCTGAATCAGGCAGGAAGTTCCCTCTGATGATGCAAAATAGCCTAAAAGAGGATGCAATTTTTAATTTTTTTTTAATGTCTGCTCTGGCTTGAAGCAAATAAAGATATGAACAGAAAAGGCCAAAAGGATCTGGTAGTAGTGCCAAAGTTACCACTCTCAAGTAACTGTTCCCCATGCTGGAGGACACATCCTCCTAAGAAAACCTG